CGTAACGCCGCGGCCGGGGGCTGCCTCCGCCGGGCTGGGGAAGGGAACGCGTCCTAAGCCCCGGGTGAAACCCGGCGGCTCCTGTGTGGAGTCGGCGTGGAAGGGCTCCTGGAGCGTGGGTTTGGTTAACGCTTTTATAAATAGCCTTACGCTACACATACTTTGTTTAAAAATCTTAAAATGACTGTAACTTATCCAAGAGAACTAAATAGTTAAAGCAGGGAAGCTGAGTCTTAGTCAGATAATGTGTGTTTGTTTGGTTCCTTGTGATTAGGCATCGTAATTGATGCCCCATTGTCTCAGTGTTTGTGATTCTTCCGGGTAGTAAATGTAACACTGTAACCTGGCTGTGATTCTTCCGGGTAGTAAATGTAACACTGTAACCTGGCGTGTGGGAAATTGGAGTTTAATTTTTCGTTCAGTGTGTAGCATTTGCTATTTGTATAGTGCTAATTTTCTTTCTTGGACCCTTCAGGGATATTGTCACAGGAATGTCATTTTGAGAAGTTCCACAGATTTGGAAGTTCTTACATTGCAGCTTCATATGTGAAGTTTTTGGAATCTGCCGGTGCCCGAGTTGTGCCAATAAGGTAGACTTTTATATCCTTATAAATGGATAATAATTGTTTAACGCAAAGGTATCATCTTAGAGGCACGGAAAGCAGTTGTGCTGCTTTTCAGAGTGTTTAGAGCTCCTCAAACACTATTTAAAGATGCCACAATTTGTGGGGAGTTTTAGAAATCAGAATAAAAGCAGACCGGAACATGCAGTTTTCAATATTCCTTCTTATGATAATAACCTTTATTTGAAAAATATTATTTTTTTACCTGTAAAATTACCCTCCATAGTTTGCATCCATGGTTTTTGAAATTGTCTATATTCAGTCTAATGTGTATTGCCTCACAAACACACATAGATATTTAGATACATATATGCATACTATCTTTTGCCACATTCTGTAGTCTTAGAATTCAAGTAATAGAAGAAGACTATTGGTACTCCTTGAAGAAACCAGAGCCCAGTTCTGCTCAGACTATGGGATGCTAACTCCATGTGGTGTTGTGTTTTGGTTGCTGGGTAAAAAGTAGCAGAATAAGTAACAGAACTGGAAATACTTTGTAGCCAACAGTTAACTAGAATATAGTAAATGCGCTGAAATCATATGTTAAAATGATAATTGTCAGAACTTAAAAGCGATACTAATGCAGCTATAGAAACTCACACTAGGATGTATCTACACAGTCCAGTAAGAGCACTAGTTAAGTGCCTGAATCAGAAGCCAGTGTTCCTCACCTACCTGGTGGAACTTTCAGAATGTTTGCTGACCAGAAGCTTCATCAATGGATGGAGGCCTCTAATTCTGGCAACTACGTCAGATGCAGCAAAGCTTTACACCTTGAATATACCCAGTGTATCAGTTCTGCAGGAGTGTAGCCCTCATACTGGTTTGCTGATGTTTTGCTGATCCTGAGGTCTTTCTCATCTTTCCACCTCTCTAACTGTATCTTTGCTGAAAGATGGGTGTCACCCACTGTTTCCAGCTCTGCCCTTCTTGGAGGCAATTGGAAACCGGAGTTGCTGGTCCGCAGGAAATAATAACCGTGCCATTCATGTAAATGTTAAATTTAACAGGTGTCTGCAAAGGGGTCTCAGAGTACCTAGTCCTGAACGGTATCTGAGAGAGTCCTGTTTTCAATCTTGTTGAGGCTTTCAATCAGTCTCTACTGAGCTGTTTCAAGTGAAATGTTTCATTTGATTTGGGACTATTCTGTTTAAAGCATGCTTTCTACATGTTTTCTGTGTCCTGTGTTTGTGTTCAATAATGATGACATTTTTGTGGTTAAGTATGTATATTTCATATGTGTTCTCTAACTATTTTCTTGGTGTTTCAGATTAAATCTTACAGATGAAGAATATGATAAAATATTCCACTCCATTAATGGGTAAGTTTTGAGCACTGATTTTCTGTTGAAAGCTGTGATAGTTCTGGTTTTGAGCTCTGCCATATTCCCAAGACCACTGTCTTTCTACTCTCTTGAGAGGTTGTGCTTGAGCACTGCAGACGTTTAAACATGTTCTAAGACAAGAGAGAGCACTATTTCATCCAGTGTCGGTCTGCTGCTTTCCTTCCTTCAGGAACATATGTCAGATATTCTGCAACAGTGCCAGGGCTCATCTTGGCATTCTCGTGTGCTTATCTGCAGGCAGACAGAAGTGGCATGGTAGTGGTTAACTATTTTACAAGTGCAATAACCCACTTCCTCTTTGTTAATTTTTTCTTCTTCCTCATTTGAGTGATCATCTTAATTTTGATATTTAGTAGCATTTGTTGAGTGTTTCATCCTTGTTCCTACTCTTTCTTCCCTCTTCCAGTCCTCTCTGTATCTCCTCTATCATAAAAGTTTCTGATTTCCTGTCTCTTCTACCCTTTTCTCTATAGGTGCTTTCTCTCTTGCTACTTGAATGGCCTGTCTTACCTGTTGTGATTCTATGGCTTAGATCTTTGTTAGACAAACATTCTGACTTTTCAGCTATGGCAACTGTTCACCCATGTGTTCTTCCTACATTTTAAATGTGGGATAATGTGATCTAATTTAATGCATTTTAATTGTGGACTAGGCAAAGTCAAAACCATTTATGTTTGCCTTATGCTAAAAGGGCACTTTAGAAGAGTTAAATCAGCTGATGCTACACTTCACAGACTGGATTGTATGTGAGCTGGTAGCATGTGATTGGGCTACTTGTGGTCATGAGATCAGCATCTTAAACCATGTATATTTTTGTTAAGCTTAAACATATGCTAGAATGTTTATCAACACGTGTAGAACCTGCAGGTTTAAACCTGTGTAAGTCTGGGAAGAGCATTGTCCTCTTTTGCTCCACACCACGCCCTGTGCACTAAGATGTGGGTCTTTACAGTCTTGCAATATAAGTAAGTGTAAGACAGTGACACGTTCTCCCCTGTGGCTCCTTGTGTTGGAGACAAAATGAATCATTTCATCCCTTTCTCATGGCTACCAGCCTCTCTGGTTGCCAGGAGGACTTTCACCAATGAGGTCTTCCGTTCTTTCTACCTCACCACCTACCTCGATGCAGAAGAGGGCATTAGGCAAGTAGATCCAGTTCCCTTATCCTTCTGTCTTTGCAGTGACTGGCAGTTGGGTTTGTGCTATGTAGGTGGATAAGGATGGTTTGTATTTCCTCTTGTTGCCCTCCACTGTCAGCTGATGTCTCCCACAGTACAGCTCTGTGTAAGTAACAACCAAGATATCTGGAGGGAAGGACTTTCATTCTGTGGAAAATTAGTATAAGAAAAAGATACATTGTTTTTTCTTGTTGTAAGGGCTTAGCTCTCCAGTAGGTTGGAAATTACTTACTAGACACCACCTTCTTAAAATCATGACATTTACTGTAGTAGAGACAGAATTCTAGAAATATAGCAATGTACTCCTGAGATAGCCTTTGAAATTCAAAGTGAACATCCAGCTCTAATCAGTTAGAGATACTGGAATACAGGTAGATGTATTTCGATCTGCTTATGACAATGTCAAGCTATTATCATTGCTACTTAATGGGTTACTTCCTTTTTGCATTAGCAGAAATGGCAGTTGTTTTTCCTAATTAGTATTGGCCAGTTCGGGGGTTGAACAAAAAGAACAGGTGAAGTGAATTTTCTACCATTTCTAGGTAAGGATCACCTTATTTGTCTAACTGCTCCTCTAACTAGAAATCTGGCCTGTTTTGAAAATACCTTCAGCTGTATTCATTTTCTATATTGGCACTGGAGAGTAATCTGATTTATATTTTTGTGAATACTGCTCTACTTTTCCACCAGAGGCTTGGTGTCTTTAGCATGATCCTGTGCATAATTCACCTTAAAATAAACCTGGTCATGAGGGTTTAATACACACTGGCTCTGGAGTGCTTGGGATCATTTGAGATATTAGTTGTTTCTAGCTGCTTGTTAGTATCTTACTGATACAGGTTGCCATTGCCAGAGTGCAGAAATGTAGAGGAAATCCTTCAGCCATTTTGGTAAAAAATCAGCAACTGATGGATGTGGCTTGAATAAATCTAATTGGGGATTCTGCTGCAGTGGGTTATTAGGGAGTGCTAACACGCTCGGTTCTGTTGGTTCTGCAGGTGCTGTTCCAGTTACAGCCAGAAGAGACTTCCTTTATTTCATGTTACTGTCTCTGATGGCACTTGATTACTTTCCATGTCATCATATGTACATGTGAAATCTCTGCTGGACTCTACTGAGTCTATTTATTTTGTGGTGTTTGGATTTGGGGAGCTACACCTTATTGCTGGTTTGTTTGTTTTGTGTGTGTGATGGAAGAAGATTGTGCACTGTTTCTTTGAAATTGTCTCCAAGATTGCTTTGTCTTCTTTGGCTGTATTAGATCCTGTGTGACCAAAGGTTACAGCCAAACATACTTTTTTTTTCCTTTTTAATCTTTGTTGTCTGCAATAAGAAGGTCATTGTGCCAGGGCCACAATTCTTTACTGAAATTGAACAGGATGAATTGAGACTGGGGCCAGGATTTTTAAAGTGGTAGGGAGAGCCAGCTAAGAGTCAGGATAGGATCTGATGAGAGTCATGGTATGCAACTCTTTTGTATACCCCCTGAAATCTGTATGTTTTGTGTATTTTCTGTTTACTCTCCTCTTCCTTATGTTGCACTAGGCTTGGTCACTACTTTGCAATATTAACCATTCTTCAGTAGAAAAACACTAAGATTTAGGATATGATTCAGTTAAAGATTTAAACACCTAAACTTAGCTGTCTGCATGTGTGCTAGCTGTCTAAATTCACATAATAAGTGGAGTGCTAGTCAGTACAGCCAGTGGAGCCTACAGAGCTGTTCAACCTACTGTCCAGGTAGGTGTCTGCTCTAGAAAACATATTCAAGCCTCCACTGACTTTTCTGATTAGATCCCTGCTGTCCATAAGGGAAGCTTAGATTCCTGTCTATCGATTTCTGAAATGTAGGTGTCTCAATCTAGACCTGAATCCTACCCTTAAAACACTATCAGACCTTTCTTAGTGTACATTGTCCAGGTTTCAGTTTGATCACCATTACTAATCAGATTCTTGGATGTTGCCTTTCAGGGTACTTTTTCCAGGAGGTGGTGTGGATCTTAAGACTTCAGAATATTCCAGGGTTGCTAAGATATTTTACCACAAGGCATTAGAGGTAATTACTAAAGAACAGTCTGTTCTTGTTATTGTCACTGTTCAGAGATGAAGATGACAGGGAGGCTCATATTTTCTAGTTTTGCATTGGCATCCAGTGTGTTAACTGTAAGCCCAATAATAAGTAGCTTATTGCTGGCTTCTGCATAAAAAATGGTTTAGTAGCTTAAGATTCAGACTCCTGACACCCTCTCCTGTTATATGTTGTGTAATGGTATTAAATTCACAAGTTATTCTAGTTAGAACAGTATCATTTATTCATTGTATCTGGAGCTTTATGGCTTTGTGGAATTCAAAGTAAAGAAACAATAATTCCTTCCAAAAGCCCAAACTATTAATTTACATTAAATGTTGAACAAAGATATACATAAATGTGATCATTTGTAGAAGTCTTATGACTAAAGTTTAGGCTCAGAAGGAGTTCTAGAGAGACTCTCAAATAAACCAATTTACAACAGCATAACATTAAGGCCTTGCTTCACATAATGTAACAGCTAGTGAAACACCTTTATTCTCACTTACCTAGAAGTAGATTTAAATATATCTTTGGAGGTGCAGATGAGGGATCTACATTAGCATGTCATACCATTTACCTATTTCTTTGCATTGGTAACTGTAAATATAGCAGATTTTTAAGGTAAACAGTAGCTTAATTTATAACATGAAAAAATGAGGGAAGAACACTTGAAAGGTTATATTAATTATTTTTTAATAATTGTATGATCATTACCTTTATTAAGAAAGGGTTGAATTTCTGGGAAAACTGTTTCTTTCAAAGAACACCAGGAAGGCTCTGAATCCTTATTAAAGATTTAATTCTCTTAGAACATAAGAGGTGGGGGTTTTTTAGATAGTAATCAACACATTTTGAAGTAAAATTTGCATTGTGGGAAGGAGTGGAGATTCATTGAGCTTTATATAAAATCCTTATGATTGTTAAGGAACTTCTGTATTCAGATTGAATAAAAATGTAATTTTTCTTCCATTTTTCTTCTTTACTAACTTTATTTTATTTTCAGCTAACGTTGATTAAAGTTGTCACAGAAGTCATACTTTTGAAAACCTTCCCCCATTCTTGAGCCAGTAATGAGTAGTGTTTAAACTGTTACCATGGCAGAAGTGTTCATTGACAGTGAGGAATTCCTCTTCTACCCTTGCCGCTGAGTTTCCAACAGCAGGCAAAGAAGGCACAGGAAGTGGCATTTACAGGACCAGTCAGCTGCTGCAATTCAGTAATTGCAGCAATTCAGTAATTGCAGCAATCCAGCTCCAAGGGCTGGAGCACCTCTCCTACAAGGACAGGCTGAGAGAGTTGGGGCCGTTCAGCCTGGAAAAGAGAAGGCTCCGGGGAGATCTTATAGCGGCCTTCCAGTACCTGAAGGGGCTTACAAGAAAGCTGGGGAGGGACTTTTTACAAGGGCAGTTAATGACAGAACAAGGGGAAATGGGTTTAAACTGAGAGAGGGGAGGTTTAGATTAGATATTAGGAAGAAATTCTTGACTGTGAGGGTGGTGAGACACTGGAACAGGTTGCCCAGAGAAGTTGTGGATGCCCCCTCCCTGTAAGTGTTCAAGGCCAGGTTGGATGAGGCTTTGAGCAACCTGGTCTAGTGGAAGGTGTCCCTGCTGATGGCAGGGGGATTGGAACTAGATGATCTTTAAAGTCCCTTCCAACCCACACCATTCTATGATTTTATGAATTAAATTCCCTGCTCTTCAGTCCCTATTGCACCAATGTTGTTATTCATTTGTCTGTCTTAATTTGTAGTGATTTTTAGCCTGTCACCTGAATCTTGCAAAGACTTATCTCACTTTTATGTAAGACAACTCATCTCATTTGTCTCTTTGAAACTACTCACTGTGTGAAGTGCAGCCTGCATGTTGGTATTCAGTATTGGGGCGAGGGCTTCATGTGGTTTGCAGTACTATGATGAAATTCTGTTGCCATTTCACAATGATTAACTGAATTGCTTATGTCATAATTTTATGATCGGAGTAAAAGGCAGGAAATAATTTTCAGTTCATCGTAGGTAACCCTTACTAATAAGTTGAATTTTTTTCTGTGCTGTTTGTGATGATTGTGTGTTTTGATTTTCATCTTTTGAGACTTAATTAGCGCTATAAAATATTGGTAGTTTTTACTAATGTAAGGTGAACTACAATAGTCAAGAGTATATTAGCAGGTACAGAATGGACTGAATTTTATGTGTTTTTAAAATGTATGAGAGCTTCTTTTTTTCTTCATTTTCAAATGTTTACAATGAGAAATGACTTGTTCTGGCTCTGCTTTAATATGAATAAAGGCTGTGAAATGCTAATCCCCATCCAAGTAAATAGAATTTTACTAGCTAGGCAAAACCCTACATGAAATAGTATTTTCCAGCTTTTAGATTAGTTTTTAAAATGTGATGTCTTGGGGTGTTGTTTAATATATGTTTAGCCTCCAGGCTCATGTTTATTAAAAAAAAAAAAAAAAAAAGGGAGAGGGACAGAAAATGTTTATGGTTCAGTTCTAATTGTTCTTAAACTGTAGTCTTATTTTTTGCCTTTAGTGGTTTTATTCCTCACTTACTTGAAAAACAGACTTGATTTGCAAGTCCTGTGTCTCTAACCATGCATGACAGGTGGTCATGAAGACTGCAGTACTATTTGTCTTCTCTCTGTAAATCTTCCATGTTTTGCTCTGAGAAGAAATAGTTATATGGGCTTTTATTACCATATTATCAGTAATGCGGTAGGTAGGGTGGCATTTTTATTCTAAGCCTATAATTTCAGCGTTCTTAAAAATGGCTTTTGGGGGGTGGGGGTGTGGTATGCATAACTTAAACATGTTTAAAAACAAGATAAGAAATGCTACTCAGATTTCACCAAAACAGGAGTTCTTGCTGGTTTTTATTCTTTTGAAAATGATTGTCACTTTTTTTAATGTTGCTTAAACTCACAATTTCTCTTTCTGGACCACAAGTCCAAACCTGCTAGTTAAATAAACATATAAGGGTGTCACTTAAGACTGTAGCCATGCTAATAATGGGATTTATGTTTTCTCAATACAGATGGATAGGCACAGGCACATGGACATTGCAAAGGGCCCTTGCTATGTGATCGTAATATGCTTCATATAAAAGTATGAATTGTAATTAATAGACTTTCCCTTAAAATGGTGACAGATTGGTTTGTCACCCTTCTTATGATTGTCTTTTTTTATACAAATGTTGCCATTTTTTGGTTTCTGTTTAGGCTGCTCTCAACATTACATATTTGTAGAACAGAACAGCCAAATTAGTATCCACTCAGTTTGCTGCTTCAACAGATGTGTATATCCCTTAGCCTTTATATTTTAGGACAAAAACTAAGGGAGTCTATGTTTATTTAAATTGTAATTGAACTGTTAGAATTCCTCTGGTAGCAATTTGTATTACTGTGGTAGTTCTACTTCTCACCTACACAAGAGAAAGCATAAAGAGGAGCAAGTTCTCTTCAGTCTTCTTTCTGTAAATCTGTCAGTACTTTTTCCTTATGTTGTTGCGTTTTATTTTGAAGGCTTATGATAATGGAGATTATTTCCCAGTATGGGGAACATGTCTGGGACACGAAGAGCTTACCTATCTTACAAGTGGTGAAGTTTTACTTATTAATACCAAGACAGATGGTTTTGCACTCCCTCTGAACTTCACCTCAGGTGAAAAATCCATTATGTCTCATGTCTGAGTTTTGCTGAGAGGTGGTGTGTTTTGTTCATGATAAATATGTGGGGCTGAATGTTTGGGAGATTTCTGGTGCTTATCTTGTTAAATTCTTTCTTACTACGTTGCCATGAAAGTTTTCAGAAAGTCAGTGCAACTCTCACTTCTAAAGCAGAATGTGAGCATGAGCCATTTGAAACCAACAGCAGTCAGCAAAACCCCCAGTTGTGGCTCTTTGAGTCATTCGATAATTTGTACCTACAAAAATAATGTGGGTTTAGGTCCTTTTTAGTTACTGAGCTGAATAATATTGATGGGTCCAAAACCTATCAAACTTGGAAAGCAGATGATTTTAAATTTTTCAAATTACATCTTTCCTAATGATGAATATTAGCATTGCTGTCCCACTTGTACAGTATTGAAATCAAAGAGATTCCTTAAAATAGAGCTGTGCCACTCAGCAACGCTGGTAAAATGTGGCCTCTGGTGATACTTTATCCTTTGGTTGGTGAGTAATCCATCTGCGGACATTGTAGCATTCACAGATTCTGTCATTTGTGCTCATCGTGAATGGAAAGGTCACTGAAATAAGTGGCAAAGAATTATGTTTATTTTAGTGAGAACTTAGTCAGCAAAGTTGGGTCCTCTCTGGGTCAAGACTGGAGGACAGTGGTAACAGTATATTGGAAACCTGTTGTAGTTATTTCACTGATTTTCCTTGCTGTATATTCTAAAATCATAAAATTATAGTACACAATAAAAGTTTACTTTAATGCAGTATTTTATTAAGTTTGTCTCCTGTTCAGTATTAGTCCATCTGTTACCAGCTTGGGTAATTGACAATATTGTTTTTCCATTTTTCTTTGTTATAGCTGCAAAAGACAGTAGGTTATTCAAGAATCTCCCGGCTGATGTATTACGTGCATTTGCTACTGAGCCATTGACATCAAACTTTCATATGTGGAGCCTCTCCATGGAGGTATTTAATAATTTTATTTTCTGAACACAAATGCTTTTGCTCTGTTAAAACTAGCAGTACATGAGCAAGTAACACATCTTTCCCCCCCACTCCTCATCACAGAACTTCACAAAGAATGAAAAACTTCGGAATTTCTATAATGTTCTGACTACTAATGCCGATGATGAAGTGGAGTTTATATCTACCATGGAAGGTAGGGAAATGGATTTTCTTTGTGAACTGTGACTGTAACAAACTAGTTCTTTAGAAGTGTTGTGGCATTGATATTAATTTGTAATACAAGCTTGCTGTCAGACTAGCAGGGTGAGTGTCAGCCCTGTCTGTGCTCCGGCTGTGAGGAACATACTCTATTTGCAGGGATATTTTGAGTACATATCTGTGAGCCTAATTACTTACTTCTCTCACCTGCTGTTCCCCCTCCAGATACGCTGTTACACTTTAGCACTGGAATATTGGAGTGCTATGGTGTGAAGCATGCAGCAGGGTGCAACGTGCCTCTGCTGCACCTTGCTTTCTGCCAGCTTGTGCTTGCTTTCCTGTGATGCTCTGTATATACTTGCTGTATGGGAAGAACAATTCAGAGTACTGAGATAACAGCAACATCCCTCATTACTTTAGCAGCAATACTGGTAATTGCCTTCCTCCAAAACCCTTTTGCATTACTTTTATCTTGAATTGCGTATGTTTTGCACCAGGATTGCTCAGTTCAAGAAAAGTTAGCTCATTGAGGAGTGGTTTATCTTGATGGGTGCACTACTAGCAGGCATAAAGTAAGGCCCAGCTGTTAGCCCATGGGATTCTTCTGTATAGCATACTGGCTGCCCTCCAGAAGAGAACAGCAGTTTGATCAGAAAACCTGATTAGGCTAATGACAGTCATCTCCTGTGCCCACATGCAATTTATCACAGAGAAGTCATCAGCTGCTGTACTGCTCTTCTCTGGAAGAGAGTTAAGGAGTGGCTTCCCCATGCACGGATCAGGCCTGGCACAGAGCATATGGGAGGTGGATTGACTGGGCCTTCAAGGAAATCTTAAGACTTCTATCTCTCCCTTGGAACTGGCAGGGATATCCTGTGTGGCTGTGAATATTGTGTGCTGCGTGATGCTGGTAGTAGATAGGAATTTTTGAGACTGATACACTTGCAACATTATATATATATATATATATATATATATATATATAATTCTGAAATAAAAAAACAAAGAAGTGATGGGCAAAAATCTTCTTGCATGAAACTTATTCTATAATATATTTTTTTTTTTCCTTCAGTTATACTGTGACTTTAGCAGAGTTGCAACTTGCTGTTTAAGCTTTTGTGATACTGTTGAGAAGTGAGGTATTTTTGTAGCTCATCCTTTGAGTTTCTTTTGCAGTAAGCATGTACTTCTTAAGGCATGGACCTTCCTTACATGCTTTGTGTTTGTTGCAGCATACAAATACCCTATTTATGGTGTCCAGTGGCATCCAGAGAAAAATCCTTTCGAGTGGAAGAATTCGCCAGGCATTCCACATTCCCCATCAGCTGTAAGAGCTGCATATTATATAGCTGAATTCTTTGTGAATGAAGGTAAAAAGTTTACTATCTATAAATATTCGACTTACAGTGAAGCATTACTGAAAATCTTTGAAGAAGACAGATCTCTTTTTCAGCTGTCAAAGTTCAATACCTCTTACTACTTTCTGAGAAGATTACTCTGCAAGCTTTATAGGCTTATAAAAAACCTAGGGACACTAGAAATAGAACGGCTTAGTAAAAGTGACATCAAAATGCCAAGCATTCCACAAACTATTTTCAGTAGACTGTCTCAAAAGCCTTATCTGTGCTGTGACTTTCTACCATTTTGAATGATCACGGTAACATTGTAGCCTTGCTTGCACAAAGAATGAAATTAAAAAAAAAAAAAAATCATGAAAAAAATTACTCCTTTCATAGTTCCATAAGTTTCTTCAGTTCCACACTGAGTTGTAGTCATTCAATATATTCTCAGTTTTACTTGAAACATATATGCACAAAGATTATAAATACTGCTTGGACTAAGTATACAGATGTTTGAAAGGGGTGCAGTTTATGTGCTATATGTGCCCAGCAGTTATGTGCTATAGACAGCACAAGAAATTTTTGAATTTTACAGAGCTTCTGGTTTGACTTTTTTGTACCTTAAGAAGCTCTAAGTATCTAATGTGTAAAATTTTTATATTTTATGAACAGACCATATACTTCATGGTCTATTCACTATAAATAAGTGGGATATAAATAAAGGAGTATTTGAAGTGATCAAACTTACTTTATTCCTTTACTTATACTTACTAAACAGTTCTGCTGAAATATTATTTTCATATTTTAAATTAACTATTTATGCAGTTGTCTTACCTGATGGATTTGGACTATCAAGAACATAATCAATAACCTAAGTGAGTTTGCTCTATAAATTTGATCTCTCATCAAGAATCACCTAATTGGAGAAAGCAGACAGTGATTTAGAGGAGTTCAGCTTGTGCTGTCCTGGTCAGCAAGAGTGTAGAAATAAAATTTGTGCTTTATACAAGTTCAAGGCTCTTTTTTTGCATAATATAATACTACTACACTTTGCAAAAAGGTTGCAAAATCACATTAAATTCCTTGTCAGTATCTGTTAAGCTTCCTGTATTTTAAGAATTTTGATAGGGTGCTTATGGGAGACTGAGGCAAAAATAAAGGGGAAAGTAGGAGAAAGTATAGTATGAGTCTGTTTTTTCTTCTAGTTTAATACTAGAATGCAGTGTATTCTCTAGTTTTGTTTGTTGCTTTCTCTAGTAACTGTCTTCACAGTACATTACAGGCAGAAGTAAGCTTGCCAAGTAAATGTGTCAAAATAAGTGCTAACTCTGCTTGTAAGTCCTGTTGAGACACAGTGCATGTGAGTTTTTATACACATACCATGAGCTTGTGAATAGTACCACACAGATGTGTCAGTAGCTTTTGGATCTGTTGACCTTCAATTCTAGTAGAGCAAACTTGTGTCAGCCAGATGTATGTGTCTACCCCTCACCTCATATAACAAATCACGAGTTATTCTTCATTACCTCCCCAATCTGTGTACAGCTGTTCCTACTGAGTTCTTCATATCATAACGTTGCACTGAGTAATTGATGGTTTTAGGTAATGTAAGACAGAATGTCTTCCTGAACTTTGAAAATAAACCACGGGGTGAAAAATGTATACTGTTTTCAGCTGGCAAAAATATACTTATCTATGATCACTTAATAACTAAATCATTCTAATGACATATAATTTTCATATCCATCCATCATTAATTTTAACTTCTGTAGAGTTGCCAACATGATAAACCAGGTGAGGATTCAGTTTTTATTGTCCTCACCAGTACAATCCCTGCTAACACTGCGGCTTTCAGTAGGCTGATACTTTGATGCATTTCTTTCAGTATTGCAAGTAGTGGTATCTTTGGTAGATACTGCCAGTATCTCATGGATAAATATTTTTTGTACAGTCTCAGCTTTAAATTAATACATTTCTCCCTCCTCAGTAATAAAATACTGTTGTAACCAGCTTTCTGAAGATGTATCTTAACAGTTCTTCACATAGTAGTTACTGTAATTCCATTTGCTGTTAAACTAGACAGAATAGCTTACTTTGCCAAGAAAGATACTGTCAAGGAGGATAACAGTAAAGTGATCTCTACTTTTACAATGTTTTACAGCCCGGAAGAGCCTGCACCATTTCCCCAGTGAAGATGAGGAAACAAAAGAATTGATTTATAATTATAGTCCAGTTTATACAGGAACATTTTCTTCATTTCAGCAAATCTATTTTTTTGATTGAGTGTCATGGCAGAGGTGCAGTGTTGCTATTTATAAATGGAATTATTTGCCAGCATTGTGTAATTAAGCTGAGAAAGTGCGCTGCACGTGACAGAAAGCCAGAACAGTTCTCTTCCTTTACAATGATTTATCCTGTGTTTCTTCTGCACTGTTGGACCATTAATAAAAAAAATTTACATTCAATAACATAATAATTACCATGGATCACACTTTAAGGCAAGCTACAGAAAAATGCATTTTTCTTCAAGGGAAGAGGTCTTGTTTATGCTTATAAACTTGGAAGTAATCAGGTTATTACTAGGAAAAACACTGTAGTCATGTATTTTAAAATATGAGAGTTGTCTTTGTAAAACATTATGGACTATGATAGCACTAGAGGCTTAGATATGTTGCTTAGTAAAATCATATCCTTTTCAAATTATTTACCAAATGATACTTCTCATCTTGGGTTTGTCATAAATATGTGTATGTAACCAAGTTATTGACAGGGACTATTTTGTAATTTGAAACATTGACCAAAATAGTAAGGAGATAGGATAGCGAAGAGACATTTTTGCCTAAAAAGCACATACTATATCCCATTTGTGAAGCTGTTTCTCTTGTACATTCAGCGTTGTTTGGAGTGCTTATACCTTGTGATGTCTATATAAATGTGAGGGTACAGTGTCAACTAGGCATTGCATATACTAGGTAAAATAAGTAAGTCTGGAGGGCATAGTTAAGTGCTGATTCCACTTTCTGTTCTTTTCAAATTCAGTTTTATATATCCTCCAAGAATTTGAGAGTAACTGGGGTCGGACAGATATGGGATGCAGAGGTCCATTTCTTTGTTTTTAAGAGAATGTAAACCTCATTTTTTTCCTTACATAGTCTTGACTTTTCCTGGAGCTACTGGATATAATTCTTACTTTGAGTCAAGAGATAGTTTGACATTAACTTAGTAAAGTTTGTTTGTCTTGTTGGATAGTTGAGTGCAGCCTGAATCAAACAGGAAATGAACGTATATTGGGAAACCTGTTTATGTTGACATAATGTGATAATAGCAGTTGCATTCAATACACTTTTTTCTTTTTTTTTTTTCTTTGCTTTGTTGCACACTTAGTGAAAATTTTGTTCAGTGGTTTCGTGTGGTGTCCAAAAAGGAACTAAGATGAGACAATCAAATATAACTCTTCTCTTGCACAGCTTCTGAACTCTGTTAACATCAGTGGGTTTTGGAGTTTATGAATAATTCAGCTTTATACCTCAGCTCTGTTCTGTAGAACCTTATACACTCAAGTACCACACCTGAATAAAGCTGGTACGTTTCTCAGGTTTTCTAAGTAAAGGACTTTTAACTTGTTCTTTATCAAGAAACAACTGCCTAAGAGAATGTGAAATGCATTAATTAAAAAACTGTAAGGAAACATTAACTGTGACTACCAGAAAGGCACTACCAGGTAATTACAAACTTAAACATGTGATATTGCAGATTATTTCTACATTTTTCAGATTAGCCAAAGTCAGTAAATGAAATTCATTTTTAATATAGGTGACTTTATTATATTAACTATATTAGCTGACTCCTGTGGATAACTAAGTGGAAAAAGAGGATTACACTCTACAGTTGCATATAACAGTAGCAGCTAAGACACTTACAAACCAAGTCCAGTCTTCTTATTCAGGCTGAGTTCTTTGGAATAGCTTGAAGAATTTGCCTAAGTAAGGAGAGCAGGATTTAGCCTTAAAACCAGGGATCAATCTTGCAAGAAATGTCTGCTAACTGCTATGGTAGTAATTAGTTCCAAAGTGTGTAACTGTAAGGAATATTGTGTGTAATATGATGAGAGAGCAGTGTATTTATTACAAATTTGTATGTGTCTTTTCTTTATATCGTTAATCTTGTAAAGCCTTGTTTGATGGTATCTGTGATTTTTCTATATGATACATGAAATAAACTTTTATTCAAGCAGATGTATATTTTGTTCTCTTTTAGATGCCATGGATAAAGCATTAGCAGTCATTCTCTTTTTATTTCCCTCTGTGACAGTCACAAATCGGGAGGCTACTGTAACCTGTGTCCGCCTGGTATGGTCATGTCGGCAAGTCAGGGTCGGGATAAGTGAGATCCGTGGCCCAGCACAGACACACCTACAGCACAGCTCTGGCAGGGACCCACGCTCAGAGCCTCAGCTTAAATGCACTTAAACGTGGCTGCTGAGCTAAGGGGCAGAAACTTTCAACAAGGCTGCCCAGAGCTCTTTCTCATGCAGCTTTTTCACAGCAGGCTCATCCCAGGTGCAGGGTCAGAGCTGGCTTGCACATGGGTAGCGAAACCCCTACGAAAGTGGGAAGGGGTTGCAAAGCCGGTGGGTGCTTTCATGGCCCTGAGAGCTGTAAGCAAAGCAACTGCTTCTGCAGTGTTCAATGAAATGAGAACTTCTGGCTGTTCCTTATAATACCTGACATCATCCATCAAGTTCTCCTCCTGTCAGAAGCAAACTATAGGAACCCAGAACTGACTAGCTCTCACCCAATAGAGGGTTTAAAAATTTGTTTTAAAGTTGTGTCAGTAGACCTCCTCTCTGCTCTCAGTGGAAAACAATATGGTTTTCCACTGCTCAGACAGAACTACTAACATAGTTTTTAGGGTTAATGCTGGAGAGAGATGAAAAAGAGCCTGTGGCCATACTCTCAACTTATTCAGAGTATGGCTTATGAGCCTAATCATCTTGCTTGCTGCTGTGTGGCAAAAACATCCATTGACCGGCAAGGTAAGTCCTGTGTGTCTTGCAGATTATATTAAATAATCTTTCAGAAGGAAAGGTTTGAAATGGTTTTCTCTGTGTACTGTTCTGCTTTTCCCACTAGATGGCCTACCAGAACCAGTGTTTTGTGCAATTTTGTAATTGGGTGTGGTGGTGTCTCGAGTTAAGTGACATGTTGAATAGGATATTTACTGTACTGTGGTATTTACTTATGTACCAGGGTATTTAGGATGTGGCGGAAGAAGAAGGGAGGAGACAGAATAGACTGAAATCTTACTGGCATAACTGGCTGGATCAGCAGGATTGCAGGAGAGAAACAGAGTCATGAGCCTAGAGTTAATTCAGCTAGGATTAAATCTTGATTCTGGTGAATATTTAAAACATTTGAGTGTTAGCTGGAGGTAACTGGAACAATGTCCCTATTTTCAGATGGTTGTTCCTCCCCTATAGCTACAGAATCTGTCTTGGTTCCTTTTCTTATAAATAGGAAATTAGCTCATGCAAAACAGAACAGCTTGGGTGGGAAAAGCTGAGAACCCGAGCTTGGAAAAACCTTTGCCTGTTAGTAAGGAAAGACTAGTTTAAATTCCTTCAGGCAAGGAAGAAATTAGAAGGAGGAAACATTCTAAATAAGTGCTCTAAGTACAGAGTTAAAGAGTAAGATGAAGAGCCTAACCCACAAACTGCTTTGGAGAAAAAAACCCCACAACTCGCCTAAAACCCCACCACTTTGGGGCTGACCATCTGTGCAAAATCCCCTAGCAAGGTAGTGAATCCAAAGCAGAGATTAGTGTCCAAGCAGGCCATGACCCTATTCCCACTTCAATGCTGACTATCTTATTTTTAGGCTAATTTTCAACTTTTTTCACTTTATCATCAGTGCCACCTTATTCATTGCTGTGGATGATACTCAGCAAAAGGATATTGAAAGCTGGACTGCACTGAACTTCTGTGCAAATTTCCATAGAAATTAGTAGCCTGTTAGGGAGTGATGGAGAGTTTGAACAACCAGGAAGAACAATAATAAATAGTTCCCTTCTTTGTGATTCTCAGAAATGTAGTGAACAAACATCCCTCGCAACCAGGCTTTCTGTAAATGAAAAGCAAAACGCTAAAGAGAGTAAATTCTAGCAGTTGTTGCTGCTGATCATCAAACCAGTTGGGTTAGTACTGTTAGCCTGGGACTGTGTACCTCACAAGCTTCCTTTGATGATCTAGACTATGAGGTATTTCACTGTGTTTTTTGAAGTTACACAAGTCTGAGAGTTGATTTTATATGTGTGTAATTTCTTACCTTTCTTCTGAAGAGTAGATCAGCAAAACCAGAAAGCCTAAAATAGCAGTTTTCTAGCTAGGAGCACATTAGGAAATTAGTTTTTCTCTGTGACCTTGAGGCACCAATATAAATGGTTAGTAACCATCTTCTGAATTCAACTTCAGAGGGGGAAGTTTAAACTTCACATACCTTTACTTTACTGGGATTTGCTCAGCAGCTCTCACACTAGGCTAACTCCTAAGGGCCTGCTTTTTCAAAAGACAATGAGACTTACTCCAACTATTCAATTATTATTATTATTGTATTAATTACTAATTGTTAAGACTATTAATACATTTTATTAATAATAATGCTAGTAATAGTGTTGCAGAGTACAATCAATAGTTGTAGTGGTTTCACTTGGTCAGCAGCCAAACATGGCCATTTGCTCACTCTGTCCTCCTCCCAAGGGCTAGGGAAGAGAATTGGGGCCAAGGATAAGGAGACTCGTAGGTTGAGGTAAGAACAATTTAATAACTGAAATAAAATAAAACTTAAAATATTAATATTAAAATAATGATAATAATAGTAATAAAATATTCAAATAAGTGATACATAGTGCAGTTTCTCACCACCCATCGAGGAGCAACTAATCCTGGACTGAAACCACAATCCTGCAAGAGTGAGAGCCCAAGGGAAAGCCAGAGAGAGCCAAAAGAGGAAGAGACCCTCATTAATATACTGAACATGACGTTACATGACATGGAATAACCTACTGACGTGCAAATACCAATTTAGCTTATTAATTTAAATATTCCTTGCCCCCCTTAGATCTTGCACTTTGTAGACTAACAAAACACAAAGTCTTTCACTTCCAGTGACAAAATGAAAACAGATAATTGACAAAATTGACAGTTCTGTATCAGCTAAAAACCAGGGCAATAATTTACAGACAATTTCTGAGATTTTTCCAAAGAGTCCCTGGCAGAATGGACGTACTCCAAAGATTTTAGCCGGACCCATTCTCACTCTGGTTGGAGTGATTCCTTGCAATCCTTCTAGGCTTCCAAATGAATTGCTAGCATTTATACTGTTGTACAACTGATGGAGTTTGGTGGAGGCCACTTGCAGCCTCTCAAAGCATATCTAACCATGTCTGTTGCTTCCAGAGGAAAAGCGAACCTGAAGAACCTTATTACCAGCTTTGCTTTAATTTGAGGAATT